GAACACCTGCTCACGTGCCTTGATGTGAGCTGAAGACACCAAGCAGAGCAGCCCGGTCAAGCCCCGGCGTGTTCATCCATCGTGGCGCCTACCGTGGCTGAACTTCTCTTGCCTCCCCTGGAAGAACTCGTCGGAGCATGCACTGCATTGAGGCAAGCGAACACAGCAAAATCACATGAAGTGTCACTTGTGCGCATCCTTTGTGCGCCGCTTACAGTCGTTTTTCATCATACTGCCGCAGCTCTTCCCCCCACGACGTTTCACACAAATGGGGGAGCGTTTCATCCATCGTGTGGGCGCAGTAGACTCGAGATTCTGACGGAGAACTGGTTCCCGACGCTTGGGGCACCGCCAACGCGAGGATACACCACAATCGATGCTGTTACCTTCTTCGCGCTTGCACGCTTAGCTCGCAGTCTCAAATACAGAGAATTGCGCAGCCTGATATTTGCTCCCCAGATATCTCCTCACTGATGAGTTTCCAGCAGCCGTCCTCGAGCGCGGTTGCTGCTGCTGACCCCGCCGGCGCCGTCCCTCCACCGCCAGAGAGCGTCGCAGGCTTCCCTGCAAGTGCACCTGGTGCACCGCAGCAGCCTGCACATGTGTCAAACCGCCAGAACTTCGCTAAGGCACGAGAGATTCATCTGCAGAGAGGCCGTTTCTTTGGAATCTGTGCTCCTCCTGTCTGAGTGTGTGCAGGTGAGGCTCAAAAGCAACTGTTTCGAGCTCCAGCAGTGCCATGGAGCGGAGTGGGTGTTGTACGACGTCAAGGCCGAGGATCTCGACGCGTACAACGAGAAAGTAAGTGGCTTGTGTCTGGCGAAGGTCAGGAGCGCAAGTGCGTACTATTTGTTCTCATTCAGGAGGTTTCCTTCCAGATGCGGACGGCCGTCGCTCGCAGCGCCAAGAAGGTGATGGATGCACCATCCCTCCTCTCTGTTATTTTACGCGCGTGTGTGTGTGTGTGTGTGTCACCGCTCTCTCTCTGTAATGGTTCTCTCTCTCTCTCTCTGTAATGGATGGATGGATGGATGGCTTTCTCAGGTGGAGCAGGCGTTGAAGAGCCAGTACATCGTGCCCACCGGCCGCCAGCTCATCGCAGCCGCCATTCCCGGCCAGCAGCTCGAGGTTACCGCCACACTCAAACTCGTACGTACACGAGGGATGAAAGGAGGGAAACACGCACACATGACGCATTCACCTCCCTCCCTCTCTCGGTGTGTCCTGCAGAAGCCCGCGATGCGTAGCGATGAGATGGACGTCGAGTACGAGTTCACATTCACGCGCGTCAAGAAACTCGACGTTGGTAAGTCTTTCTGCCGTACGTAACCCACCAAACCACACGCACCACACAAACACACCTCGACGAACGTGTGCGTCTTTGGTCCCTCTCTTCTCTCTCTTTGTGGGTGTGCTGTGCAGCTGATTTCGGTGTGATGAGGAGCCAGGAGGGCCGTATGTACCTCGACAACCTGTTCAAGGCCCTGGCGCGCAAGTCAAAGGTGAACACGACACCATAACACGTATGCGCTGCATGGCATGTATCTGTGGTTGTGATGGCGTGGTGGTGATGGTCTGGTTCAGCGTTGCGGTGTGAGAGGGGTGTACTTCGACTTTGCAGCCCCCGTGTGCACTCTCAAGCCGGAGCGCAGCACCCCGGACCAGCACTCCATCCGCGTGTGCCGAGGCATGATCCTCACCACCATCGCCACCATGAGAGGACCCGTGCTGCAGGTGGGGTGGCGGGCGGGGGAGTGAGGGAAACAGGGAGGGAGGGAGGGAGGGCACCACAGACACGTGTGTGTGTGTTGGTGTGTGTTGGTGTTCAGCTTGATGTGAAGCACATCTGCATCAAGGAGGCCCCGGTCTACGAGATACTGCAGGCTGCAATGCGTCAGCTCACATCCCACACGCACACATACACACACACACACACACACACAGGGAGAGAGAGAGAGAGGCCACACACGGTTTCTTGTCCGTTGCCGTCCATGTGTGTGCAGGTAGCTCGTCGAAGGCCGCCAACCTGGCCGTGCTCGGCGAGTTGTATGAGGGGCGTGGCGTGGTCACATGTAAGACACACAGCCGAACACGCCGCATACACACGACACGCTGCTTTCATGTATGTGTCGCTTCTCTCTCTCTCTCTCTGTGGGTGATGTCAGACCATGCGGACCAGTGGTATCGCATCGACGGAGTGAGAAGCGAGAAGGAGGCCGCGTGCATCCATATGTTTCTCCCACCTCTGTGTGTGTGTGTGTGTGTGTCTGTGTGTGTGTGTGTGCGTGTGTGACGGGTGATTTGCAGTTGGTTGAGAAAGATCTGAAGAAAGATGGCTTCATGAACAACCGCACGAACGACTTCGTCACGTTCTTTGACTACTTTAGCCAGGTCAGCTGTCGCGCAACACACAAAAGAACACACATAGCCCTCTTCGCATGTCTGTTCGTGTACCTGTGTGTGCAGCACTACAGCCGTCTCCGTGGCGTGTCGGCGGACAAGTACCTGTCCCCGAGCAGACAGCCATTTGTCAAGAGCATTCGCAACGGCAAGGAGATATTCATCCCCACCACGCTGTGCTACCTGACAGGTCAGAAACGTGCGACACACCAACACAGACGGCCGTCGGGGGAAGTGTGTTGGTCTGCTTATGTGCGTATGACCCGTGTGTGTGCAGGGCTGGATGATGAGACCAAGAGCAACCGGCAGAAGATGCAGCTCGTCCACAACTACTGCCGACTTCCCCCAGGTACCACACATAAACCGACACACACACACACACGCACACAGAGCCTTCAGGTGTATCTTGTTTGCAGATCGGCGTTTCCGCATGTATGAGGACCTACTGGGCGCGCTGGACAAGGTGGAGCGCGAGAAGAAGATCCTCAGACAGTTCCATCTGCAGATGGTACCATACACAGACAGACATACAGACACGCATAGAACACACTCAGACAGATATGTGTGTGTGTGTGTGTGTGTATCTGTTGTTCAGATGCCGAGTGCCGTAGAAGTAGAAGCCTCCCAAATATCGAGCAGCCTGTTCAGCGGCTATTCCACCGAGAACCTGGAGGTCACCGCAGCGCCGCAGGAGTGTCATTCATTCAACATATGTGTATGTGTGTGTGTGTGTGTGTGTATCCAGGATGACGAGCAGCAAACAGTGAAGTTCAACAGGGCGCTGTTCGTGTGCAAGGGCCGCCACACGGACCTCCGACGCCGACTGGTCGACTCCCTCATGACCAAGGGCAAACGTAAGCAGAGAGGGACCCCCTCACCAGAGGAGCATGATGTTCCTGCGAGCTTGGTGTCTGAGTATGGGTGTATGTTTGTTTGTTTGTTTGGTTGATTGCAGGCTTTGGTCTGCTCGACGAACACACCGATCAGACGGGCCGTCCGTGAGTACCACACGCCCCTCCCTCCCTCGACACACACGTGTGCCTGCTATCGACATGCTCACATACACCTGTGTGTCTGTGTGTGTGTCAGGTTCAACCCAGTTTACACGGTGGATTTGGCGAGTCACGAGCGAGGCGTGACGGACACCGACCTGCGGCAGGCGGCTGAGCGTGTGCGCGAGTTCAACGGCGGCATCACGTGCATCGTGTGGATACTCGACGACAGGTACGCCCCCCCCCCCCACCGAACCGAACACGCCATCACACCACATTAATGCGGCCATGTATGTGTGTGTGTGTGTGTGTCTGTAGTGGCGGTCGCTCGAAGGATGCAGTGGGGGAGGACCGGGCCAAGATCAAGCAGGCCTTCAGCCTCCACTCGACACAAGACTCCATAGTGTGTGCCAGCCAGGTAGATAGAGGGGATGGGACGACACACAGGACACCAGACAGACGCGCACACATCCATGTGTTTGTGTGGAGTATGATCATCAGTGCTTGAAGGCGAGTACGGTGCAGAAGAAATGGGGAGTGGCCGAGGCGAAGGTCATCGACAAAATCCGCAACAAGGTCAGCCACCCACCCACACACCCACACACACAGAGATGGATGTACCAAATGTGTCACTCATACGTCTGTCTGTCTGTGTCTGTGCACATATAGATGAGTGGCTACTCGTATCACGTCAAGGTGGCTGATCGGCACCCCGATTTCGGCCCAGACGGTGTGGAGGGCCGCAAGAAGACCATGGTCTGCGGCATCGACACCATCAGGCGCAAAGGTACACACTCAGACAGTCGCACAAGTACACACGGGGGAGAGGGAATGGGGTGTGTGTGTGTGTGTGTGGTGTGGTGCAGTACACGGCAAGTGGCAGATCTGCATGGTCTTCACGGCGTCCTTCAACGAGAAATACACGAGATACCTGTCACGGGTACCCATCCGCTCATCTCTCAGCCACACACACATTGACACATTCGCTGGCCTGGTCCTTTCACCCTTTGCTGTGTGTGGTGTGTTACGTATGCAGGTGGACTTCTTCGAGAGCGCTCAGGCCACGGCCGTCGACTGGACAAAAGTCAAGGAGTCCTTCACCGGTGAGCAGGGCAGAGCAGATCGCCACATGCCACACACACACGCCCCTTGATGCTCTTGTGGTTCTTCAGCCGCATGCAAGAAGTATTTCATCACTCACTCGGAGCTCCCCGACCAGATCCTCATTTATCGCAGCGGTGGGCCACTGAGCAAGGCAGCCATCCAGCCAGCCGCTCATTGTGTGTGTATGTGTTGTGTGTGTTTTATGTGTAGGGGTGTCTGAGGGTCAGAAAGTTACGTGTGTGCGTTTCGAGCTGCCCGGCGTGTTTGAGGGCATCAACGAGGCCCTCGCCAAGGCCAACGAGGCCCTCACTGCGCGCAAGAACAAGTTCGCCGGCCTCATCAGTCAGGGCAAGGACGAGGAGGCGGCCCTCACGACCGCCAAGCTCACGCCCCACACCAAGGACCTCAACGAGTTCCCTCGCCCCACCGTCGCGTTCATCTTTGTCAACAAACACGTCACGATGCGGTACGTGCAGACGAAAGAACGAACCATCGGCGTACGACACGTGAATAATCTCTCCTTCTCTGTCAGATTCACCACTCATGTGTCGGAGCCCCGTGATGTGCGTCCCCGCGGCGGCGACGTGCCGCCCGCCACGAGCACCCAGACGACCCCCTCCCTGCCGTCCACCTACCCCTCGTCGCACGCGTCGCCGGCGCGACCCACCGACCGCGGCGGCCGCTATGGGGGCGGGTATGGGCGCGGCAATGGTGGGAATGGGGGCGGGTATGGGGGGAACGGCGGGAAGCGGTCGCACGACGCCTATCGAAGAGGCGACGGCAGCGTCCAGCCAGGTGGGTGCGCGGGAGGGATGACTGCATGAGTGTGTGGATGGATCCGTTTGTCTGTGTGTCTGCCTGTCTGTGTGTGCAGGTACTGTGGTGGATTCGGGTGTGACGTCGAGGGACGTGTGGGACTTCTACTTCTACCACGGCCGAGCCCCCCCTGGCTCGTGCCCCACACCAACGCTCTACCACGTGCTGTACAACAACACCGGTGTGTGGGCGGGGAAAGGGCCAAAAGAGGGAGGGCGACGCCCACCATGTCTGTCTGCAGCTGTGTGTGTGCTGCAGGCGTGTCAGTGCCCAACCTGTACATCTACACGCACCTGCTGACGATGAGCTATCAGAACTTCCACAGTCAGTGCAGTAGCAAGAACGAATCGCCACACACACCACGTGTGTGTCCATGTGTTTATGTGGATGTCTGTGTGTGTCAGAGCGGGATGAGGGCATCAAGGTGCCGGCTCCCGTCAAGATGGCAGAGAAGTGGGCATGCTAAGAGCCAACACACTGAGTGCATTACACGATGGACTCGTGCGTGCGCGCGTGTGTGTGTGTGTGTGTGTTAGGTTGTTGCAGTACATCAGTGGCGCGTTGAAGTGGGACAAGCCCCACAAGCACCTCAATTGCACCAATTTTTACTTGTAGACTAGCGAGCGGATGCGATAGACAGACAGACAGACGGGGAAGGGGGGGGCGGTTGGGTGGTTGATGGGATGCTGGGTGATGCCGTCTGTTTGTATGGTTGTACATACTCAGTCTGTCTGATTGTTGTAGCTCCATGACACACGTGTGTGTCATTCATTGCCAATAGCCAGCAGCCAAGGCAAGGGCAGCAATTCGTTAGACAGAGAGAGGGAGAGATTGAGAGATTGAGAGAGAGAGGGAGGGAGAGAGGGAGGGGAGGGAGGTAGGGAGGGGGATGGAGGAAGACGGCTAGCGCACATGCAGCCAGCCACGCAGACACGGACGGCAGCGAGAGCCAGGAAGGCGGGGGACGGAAGGAAGTGTGGGTGCTGTCCATCCCACTACCTCCCTCCTGCCTGCCTGCCACCATGATCACTTCACTTCAAACATGGCTTGCATGTGTGTGATCATCCATCCATCTGTGCAGACATGCACGATGCTCTCTCTCTCCTTGCGTGTGTACTGTCAACCATCCATGCTCAACACAGGCAATTTACAATGAGGTATGTAAACTGCGGGTTTTCTAACGGCCGAGATGATGAAGGCCTTCCTGTTTCCCCTCTTTCTCCTCGCTGCTTTCGGCAGTCCGACACATTGCGAGGCGGTAACCACAAGGCTCGAGGAAGTGCTGGAAGACGTGCAGAAGCTGCTTGCGCAGACGCGCCATGACACTGACAAAAAGTCCTCGAAAGGGCGACAGCTGTGCCCGGTGTTCACGGCGCCTATGTTGATGGATAAGCCGCCTCCGAAGGACAGGCTGGTCCATTTCGCCTCGCTGCCCACCCGACCTGTCCCGGCGCAGAGCGAACAGTACATCAACGTCAATCTGGTACAGTACGGTGGGTGTGGCTGTGGGTGGGTGAGGCTGTCTGACCGATGCGCTCTGTGTGTGTGTCCATGCAGGGTGACGTGCGAGCTGCGGGTTTTGACGAGGTGATGTTGGCTGTCAGCTCCAAATCGGACAATGCGCACTTGGCCGTGCTGTATAGAGGAGAGCACGGGTAGGTGGGGAGGGGGATAATTAAGGCGCGAAAAGACCTTGTCAAGCATCTGGATGTCCCCTTGCAACGCACATGACATGCAGGCTCGTTTCGCGTTCGAGCGACTCGTCCGGCGTCGTCAGGGTGCCTGCGTCAACGGGCGGAGCCGCACATGCCGTGGTTGCCGCGGTCGACAATAAGACGGCCGATGTGGTGAGTGAGCCAGCAGCAAGGGAGGGAGGGACCACTCTTTCATCGTTGAATGAATGATGCATGCAGTCGGTGTGGATGGCTTACCGGAACGCCGAGTGTGTCATGCCTTTCGACATCGCCGCCATGTCCACCCTCGGCGCCAAGAAAAACGACACCCAGGGAACGATGATCACTTGTGAAGGTCGGCCTCATCGATTGCACGCACGGATGATAGACAGACGGCCAGACAGACAGACAGACAGGCAGCATGTGGCTCTGTCTGTGTGTGTCTGAGTTGAGTGTGTGTATCCTTTCAGAGCCGCCCGACGACTCGGATGAGGCTGTTGATGAGCAGTATCCCAACGAGGAGGTTTGCTTGTCGTGCGGGCGGTGCGTGTATGACGAGTGCCGCGTGTGCGAGAACCCCGACGCCACCGGGTACGTCTATTTCTGTGTGTTCCCCGGCTCCGACTATGCCCTCCAATTCGACTGCCCATACGTTCCCAGCCGATAGATAGACACAGAGAGATAGACGTAGGAGATGCATGGTTTTCTGTAAGAACTCAGGTGTCCGCCTTTTTCGTCTTTTTCGTGTGCTGTGTGTGCACTCTACTCTCTCTGCCTGCAGCGAGGCAAGTAGTGCACTTGGAGACAGGTGCGTCATGCTTCGGTCTGTCTGTCTGTCTGTCTGGCCGTCTGTCTGTCTGCACACGTGACGGGAGAGGGGAGGGGGCCTCATATGAGCGGGTATGTATATGTCGTTGGCCGGCCACGATGCGACGACAGAGTGTGTCGCTACCGTGGTGAGTTCTCTCTCGGCACCATCAACGTACATGGTGGGTGGGTGTGGTGACATGGTGACATGTCATGTTATGGTATGGCTACCGATTGACTGACTGGTCGGATTTACTCACTGAATGCTTGTCGTCTGTGACAAGCACGTACATGCACACACACATGCCGCACGCGGCCAGGGGTACGTGCATAAGTATGCGCACGCAACTTAGATTGGCTTGGCACACACAACGTGACGGAGGCAGCCACACGTGCAGCGTCTCTTACACAGGTATGGTATGGTATGGAGAGAGGGTCAGTGAGTGAAGTGCAGTAGCGACCCCGCAATACCCACCCCAGCCCTCCGGCTTTTATCTCTCTGCCCGCAGCGATTTATCTTTCTGTGTGTCTCTGACAGTGTACAGGTGTGTGCCTGTGTGCCCTCCTGCATGGGTCAACTGCTGACTAGAAAAGCACTCATCCGGAGGACGACCCACCCGCCTCTGCATAGCAACTGAAAGAAAAAATCCCTGTCTACCGAGGGCCACTGGTCACGCAGCATATATCATTACTGCAAAACGGCGTCAAAACGTGCCTGCCCTGCTGTGACAAAAACGGGCAGGGCACATGACCTACCCAAGACACATAAGACAGATACATGCACAGTGGCCAAGCGCATACACTCTATCATGAGCTCCCTCATATTACATACATATTACTCATGGAAAATCGTTTACTTACAAGACTGCCCGCCTGTCCCGCACCGACCACGGGCTAGGCTATCTACACACACAAGTGTCGGGACTTATCACCCGCCAGACGGCCAGCAGGTCCCCGCCACTATCGACATACGTGGCGCCCACCAGCGCCTCATAGAGGTCCCCCACATGCTTCACGCCACTCTCCTCACGCCCCGCTGACCAATCCTCCCTCCTCGCCTCCCAGTCCATCTGCAGCTGCCTCAGATGATCACGCTGCGCCGCATTGCCCACCCTCAGCACGTCGCTGATGCACAGACGGCCGGACGGTGCGTCACGGAGGCGCGCCAGAAGCCGCTCGCAGAGGTGTCTGTTGGAGAGCAAGCTCTTCTTTCGATCGGTGAGGCGACCTACAGACGCCCATTCACCATGGCAGGCACGATGAGAGAGGGCGTCTTGCCATGGTCGTCATGTGTGTGCCTGTATGGGTGGTGTACCTTCTTCCGTATCTAGGGGGTCGACGGATATCAGCTCGCCGGCGGCCGACGGGGCGGCCGGCGTGTCGTCGAAGAAGATCTGATGGCACACGAGGACCTCCAGCACGGCATCGCCGACGAACTCTAGCTCCTCGTTCGTCTGGGCGGCACTCGACACACCCGCACCAACGCACGAGCGGCTCGTGAGCGCCTTCCTCAGCAGGCCTTGGTCGTGGAACTGCCGCCCCCACATGGCCTCGATCGGCCCCAAATCACGCGCTTCCCCAGCACCGTTGGCCATCGCCGTATCGTTGGCCGTCGGCGCATAGAGCAGCGGCAGCAGGCAGGGCATGTCGTCCATGTGGAGGAAGGTGTCGACAAAGGCGGCTACAGCTGTTACGCCCCGCTGGTAGTCAGGGGCATCGTTAGCGACATCATCGACCTGCAAGTCATGCAGCCATACGACACCTGCTCTCTCTCTGTGTGTGTGGAGGGGGGGTGGGGGTGTGCGCACCTCTATCTTGGTGTCATCGTGGTGTATGTTGGAGAGGTAGATGGCCCCCATGATGGATTCGACAATGTCGGCGAGTGTCTTGTCGCCGATGGTCTGTGCTCGGGTAGACTCGACTGTCCGCCTGCGGCTGAACGGCTGGGCCCACGTGTACTCGTAGAAGCGGTGCTCCTTGCACATCCTGGATGCAGGAAAGATGCACGCACACGCAAGCACGAAGATTCCCGTGCTCTCACGTACTTGCGGAGGTATTCGTTGGCCTTCATCTGGCTGGACAGTGACGTCATGGGCCCCTCCCCGCGGCCCTCGCACGCGTGGTAGGCGCCAAGGTTGGCAAGGAACTTCAGCACGGCATCCCCCAACCACTGCACTCAACACAACTCAAGACAACACAGACGCCATCTCAACGTGACCACCACCACAAACACAAGCAGAAGGCCAGCCAGCCGGCTGCACGCACCTCTAGTCGTTGGTAGTCTGACCGACACCCACTCGGGCGCAGATCAGCGGGAGCCCGCCAGTCGACCAAGACGTCCTTGGTCGCCCCAATCTGCGAGTTGAGCAGGGGGCACGTCAACGCCTCGACGAGGCGGCCATAGTCGAGATGGATCGCTGCCTGGGTCTGGTCGACTGAGCTGAGTCGGTCGTTGAGGCGTGAGAGCAGGGTGTGGCGGAACTCCTGTATGGCCTGCTGCACTTCTATCAGGTACAGGAGGGAGGGCAGCCACGTCAGCGATTCGGCCTGCAGACATTAGAGGCAGCAATGGGTGGAGAGTCGTCTCGCCATCTTCCTCTCTCTCTCGGTGTGTATACCATGGGTGCGGTAAGTGGCAGGAGTTTGAGCAGCTCTGGTGGGTGGTAGCGGTCCTTCCGCAGCTGTGATGTCGGGCGCAGCTTCTCCTCCTCATACAACAAACTGCGAGTGCCCTGTCAGCAACCACACAACACAAGTATTACCAGATATGAGTGAGCGAGCGTCTCTTCTCTCCACACCCACCCCTCTGAATTGGTCTGCCTCTACGAGGAACGGTGCATCGAAGCGCTCAGTCATGTGCTTGCTGCTCACAGGCACAAACACAACACGCAACTGCAGCGCAGCCGTGTAGCGCGGGCACTCTCTGGCTGTGTGTCCGTCCGGCTTACCATGATTGAGCGCAGTACTGCTGCAGCGTCTGGCCATCCTCCACAGCAAAAGTGGATGCGTTCTCGTTCTCAACAATGCCCCTCACACTGACAGACAGACACCAACACACCCAACGCAGCAACACACAAATGGGTATGTATCCCTCCTGACGTTCTCCTTCCCTCCCTCCTCGCCCACGTGTGCCATCTGTAGCGCCGGGCTTTGGTCCGCTTGGAAGGCGACAGGGCCATCTGCTCCTCGCCATTGCGTGAGCCCAGAGCCTCCAGCATGGCGGCTGCCGGCCCGTGGGACGCCGCCCTCACCGCCACCATGCTGGGTACGGCCATCCGCCCCTGACGCCTCGTCTGGCTCTCGTACCTGAATGACAACACACGTGGCGCAGTGTGTGTAGAGAAAAAGCACCCGCACGGCAGCTTCTTTCCCTACATGTTGATGTATTCCAGCGCTGCGTCGACGAATCGCCAGTCGATGGCCTTGCCAGATGAGTCGAGAGGGGCCGCAAAGGCGAAAGGGGGAAGATGGGGGTCACGGTCGGTTGAGGCGTCGACATCCATTAGTGAGTTGATGTTGGTCGGGTGCTGCTGGCCCTGGCCCCCCCAATGGATGAAGTTCTTGACATCGAGAAGGCGGCAGCTCTTGTTGGTCCACACCTGCAATGACACCCACGCACCGATCCGGATGCACACATCCATGCCCACCATCCCACCCACCCACCTGCAGCTTCCGCGCTTACTCTATCGTGACGCTGACCTCGGCCTCTCGCCTCACCTCCACGCCAAACGCCTCGTTGTTCATCGGGTAGAACAGCCCGTCCAGCACCATGCTCTCGCCCCCGACGAGCCCAGCCGCCATCACAATCCCCACCGGCGTGACAATTCTCCTGTGCTTCACCCCATCCGCCATTCTGTAGCGACCCATGAGGCCGCCGTAGTCAGGGAAGTGCAGCAGGCTGCCTGGTGGCGAGAATGACAGCGTGTGCAGCAGCAGAGAGGGGAGCGAGGAGGGGGCTGGGGGTGGGGAGGGGGCGAAGTGGTGCGGGAGGATGCCATCAGGCCACGATGTGCAAAGCGGAGGCTGAGAGAGAGGCGGAAAGGATGAAAGGCAGATGGGATGGGGTTTCGATGACCTTCGTGTCTACGACGTACCTTTCGTGGCAGAGTGATGGCTTGGCCATACTTCCTGCGTTTCTTCTCCCAGTGCTGGCGTGCGATGCTGCCGTATCGCATCAGGTGGTCGTCTATGATACCCATCTGACACAAATACGTACACACGCATCCCACCCCATCCACACACACGAACCGACCGACCGACCGACCGCATCAATCTCCCCCCGCTCTCACCTGGTGTAGGGTCTGCAGGGCCTGCATGTACACCCCGATGATGACCCTCTCCTTCAGCTCCTTGGGGCTCTCCTCCCCGCCCAGGCGGCCGACAGCTCTCCTCCACCCCGTGTGCGTGACAATCATGGTGTCGCCGTCATTGGCCCCTTGTTGCTGCTGTGCCACTGAGGCGCATGGGGGTCTGCACTCTTACTTGAATGCGGGCAGGGTGAGTGTGGCGGTGTGTGTGGAGGGGTCGTAGGAGAGGGTCTCCTTCTCCTTCTCCAGGACCATGATGCCGTAGACGCTCTCGTACTTGCCAGACAGCGGATTGTACGCATGATACAGCCTACATCATGAGCAAAGACAGAATCAGAGATGCATGGCTGTAGGTCAGCCGTCAGCTGTCCACTCACTTGTAGAGTTTGTCCTTGACGAATCCCCTGTCCGGCGGCACATAAGCGCCCGTCGCCGGCACAAAGAGCGGCCGCACACCGGCCTCCCTCTCCACGTCATCCACAGTCACATACGGACTCTCCACCGCCCTCCCAGCCCCCACCGCTCCGCCCTCGCCTCTCATGGCCGCCTCTTGGTTGGCCTTGGCCTGTTCTCTCAGCAGCGTCTCAAATCGCTGATAGCTCGCCAGTCGGTGCCGGATTGCGATGCCGTCTTGCGAGTTGGGGATGAGGTGGATGTAGCGCGAGCCGGCCTTTCTCGCCCGGCCGCGGCACTGGACGTTCTCCTTGCCGGTGACGACGGGAGAGAAGCGGACGACACAGTTGCAGAGAGGGACGTCGATGCCCTCCTCTAACACGCTGGTGGAGATCTGGACAGCCAGGGGATGAGACAGACACGCATGCGCACCGCACACGAGCGATTGATTCATCTTCCGTTTGCCTGCCTGTGGTCGTGTGTCCGTACGTACCAGCACTTGTATGCCTGCTGCTGTGGTGTCCCGAAACCGACCCATTATGGCGTCCTGGGCCTTGGCTGCACATCACAGGCAGGCGCACGAAGAAGGGCTCCCACACTCCCTGTATCGCCCTTCCGTGCGTACCATCAAACTCCACTTTGCCAGGGTTGCCCGCCGCACTGGCGTTGGTCCCCATGACCACCTCTACAGTCAGACCCCTCCCATCCGGCCCTCGGAGGGTCTCCTGTAGCACAGCCTTTAGAGCCACAGCAGCAAGCCGCCGCTCTACAAACACGAGCACCTTCAGCTGGTGCACTGCAGCTGAGTAGTGGCGGATTGCCGTTGTCGAGCCGGCAGAGTCACCATAGAGTTGGAAGTCGCCAGCACCGGCCACTCTGAACGGCTCAAGTGCATCTAGGATGGTCTCGCGGAGCAGCTTGACCTTGGGAGTCAGGAGGAGGTCCATCATGTGATCGCTCAGGACGGGCGAGGGGCCGGGTGCATCGGGTGGGGCGACCAGAGCGGCGCCTGTTGGTCTTGGTTGAAGGGCTGTGGTGAGGAGCTGCAGTGGCAGCTGATAGATCTCCTGCAGCAGGTCAGGTGGCGCACCTGCATACACCAGAGAAGAAGAGCTCTTCTACACATATAACGGGAAAAGCACAGTCTGTATCGGCACCTGCGTCCGGGGGCAGCTTCTGTTTCTTACGCGCAGGGCCACTTGCGTCGCTGCTCTGGTCCTCGTCGTCGGCCACCATGATGCCGCCCTTCTGCGCCACCACCGTCAGCCCATTCACCACCCCACGGATACCCACATCGGTCAACACCACCGACACGTTTCCCTTCACCCCCTCCAGGCGTTTAGTGACGTGCTCCTTGGCCTTCTCGATCCACTGGTCGGCCGTCAGGGATGGATTGAGGTGAGCAAGGGCCTCCTTGTCCTGTCTGTCGAATGCAGCCGGGATCTCCGTGGCGAAGAGGGGTGCCCACAGCTGGTTGTCGAGGACGGATTGCCAGTCGGCATGGCTGTCTGGGGGCGGCACGTCGTATCTGAGCTGCTCCTCCGTGACGGACTGAAGACACACACACACACACACACACACAGAGAAAGAGAGAGAGAGAGAGAGACAGACAGACAGAGGGAGAGAGACTCGATGGACTCTGGTGCGACGCAGTATCTTCATTTGCTTTGGTTACGGGGCAGAAGGGTTCCAAGAGGGCTGCTGGTGGGACGATCAGTCGCGCGCACAGCACTCTTTCGATAGCATGGATCTCATCCTGGGCCATCGCCTCATATGCATTGGCCTTCCCTTTCGATGGGTACGCAGTCAGACCGAGGATGTGTGGCCGATCTTTCACCTGCACACACACACGCACACACACACACACATGCGCCATCATATTTACGTCCCGGTTGGGATCTGCCTTGGTTTCCCCCTGTTTGCTCACCGGCACCCTATCGTAGAAGTTTCTCATGATGGACGAGTACATGTCGCCTCCCTTGACGTGGTGGCACTCATCCAGCACCATCAGCGCCACCCTATCCAGGCGAATCATGCCGGGATGCAGCAGCTCCACCATCTTGGCGGGCGTCATCACGAATACGCGGGGCGGCCCGCACACGCTGCTGTAGACATCCGACGCGTCTTCAGCAGCGGCGGTCTGCTGCGCGTCGTCCATCCACGACGTCCTGAACGACTTGAGGGTGTCCTGATCTACTCCGACAGACGTGAATGGCGTCGCCGCGTTGCCCTCCAAGTCGTAAAAGAGTCGATCCCACGTCAAAGGATCGTCCCAGTTGTCTGAATGTGCGCACACACTACCACTGTCTGTGTACGCCGCACTTTCTCGCCGTCTTGTTTGTGCGTGTCTTCGTAGCTACCTGAGTCAGGTCCCACAAGGCGGACATCGCCGTGAATGAGGACGGGCCCTGCCCGGGTCTCGAGCTCAATCACGGCCTCCTGCTGGGCGCCCAGCGGTTTCCTGACAGTCGAATGAATGGAGTGCGTATGAGTGGGCTCAGGAGTAGAGTGCTTCTTGACGTACGTTGGCGCCAAAAAAACGATGATATTGGACGCGCACTCAGGCTGATTCAGAACGTGGTCGATCAGCAGCGTGGCTATGCGGGTCTTCCCTGCAGACACACACATCCATCCATCCACACACACACACACACATATACACACGAATTACCGCAGAGGGCGTTGAGTGCGGCCTTGCATACCTGTGTTTGTTGGCATGAAGACGATGCTGTTGTCCCTCTTGACTCTGTCAAAGAGCCACAGCTGGTAGTCTCGAGGAGCATTCATCCGCGATGGCGAATGGGTGCTCTGCTCGCGGTCCATCCTTGTGGTCTTGTCACTTGTGCTGATGAATCAAACGACACAGCAGGGGCTATGCAAAGCGATGCTGTCCTCCAATACACTGCGGACAGCCCCAGGGACAGCCGAGATCACTTGCACACAGCGTCCAGCTCTGAGTCAGGAATTGACGGCTGCTGATGTCATGTAGGAATACACGACGGTTTCCAAGCAGTGACTGACAGTACCGAGCGAGCTGATTCTCCTGCAGCGAAATTCGCGGCGATTTGCCCATCTCATTCTCTTGCGAGCTGCAAGCGATCGGCGCATGGGAAACGAAGATCTGCACCCTTTCGCCATGTCAGGGGCCTCATCGTCACCGCTGACGGCTGACCAGCAGACCTTCGTGACAGCTGAACTTGCCAAACAGAAGCCGGCCGCTGTTGAGAGGCTTATCAGCGACCTCAAGATGATAGTGGCATACGAGACAGCGGCGGACTGGCAGGAGGAGCAGGCCATGAAGATGGCCTTCAACGCTTTCTCGTGGGACGACGTCAATGTGGTCAAGGCGCTGCCCGAGTACCTCAAGAGCACCGGCAGCCAACGCGCCAGGGTGGACTACGCCTTCAACGTGCTCATGCCCCGGCCGGCGCACACCACAGACGTCAAGCAGTCGATGATGGCGCTGTGGCTCAAGGCCAGACTCTTCTCCTACGACAAGCACTTCCCTTTCCAGGTGGGTGAGGGAGGGGGAGGGAGGGAGGGAGGGAGATGGTGGTTGGGCAGATCTGATAGATCTACGTGCACTTGACGCCACGCCCATTTGGCCTGGCCTGCATCTGTGGCTGTCTGTCTGTGTACGTGTGTGTGCAGTTCAACCCCTACGCGCGGTGATGTTGACAATGACTTCAGAGGGGGGGTACTGTTTTGCTTTTTGGTCCTCGCGATGTCGAGAGAGACCTGTCGATGGATGACGCATCATATCCCTGGTGCTGCTGTGTGTCGTCACTTATGTCGCCATGGTTTGGAAAGGGCTTCGAGTTCGTGCAGGAGGACGTGCCGGTGCGATTCCTCGATCCTTGGAAGCGCAGCGTTTCGTACTCCGCCGCGAACTCGAAGCCCTCTGCAACCCTGACGTCTTTTCGTGCCTGGCGCGTTTGGAGTCAGCGAGGCCCTCTTTCCATCCATCTGCATGAATGATGCAGAGACCGATCGTCATGGCGTGTATGGACAGATCTTGTATCGGACACGCCACGCCTGTGAAGCACGTACGTATCTTGACGCGAATGAGATGAGATGAGATGTCCGTATGTATCAAGAGAATCATACGATGCGATGTGAAGGTCAGTCAGTCAGCAAGAGCTCTTAGGCATTTCACCCATCCTAGAGCCCTCACACACATGCCATGCATGCCATGCCACCACCAGACAGACCTACACCTATCAAATCACTGGCCGGATGAATCTTTCACGTACGTACGCATCAATCATGGATTCATGATGAATCAGCAGCAACCTGACAGACACACACACATGTACAGCCAGCACATGAACACCTACCTGTACGTATCTATGAGTACCCACCAGCCCACCCACCGTATCTGAAGCAAGCAGGCGGTACGTCACCTCTCAGGTCATCCAGCATAGCTGACCAACACAGGGAGAAGAAAAGACATCTATCTGTCGTCAGCATGTCTCCCGGGGACACATGTGTCCTTCTCAGCGCACTTTTGTTGCGATGTGAGTAGTTGTTCTGCCAGAAGTTTGTGTTGAGCCAGGCCGTGCATTGGGTAATCTTGCCCAGGGCCCCTTTTTTCTTCCCTTCGTCGGTCATCCACTTGTCAGCGGCCTCGAGGAGGGAGGGCAGCAGCACCGCAGCGTCTGCCAGCTTGATGCCCTGCACATACTCCTCCACGGCCTTCTCGTACCCGTTGCGATACCCAAACTTGCGGCGAGTCATCGCCGGTATCACTTCTTCCACCCGGGCCTGCAGGGCAAGCGAAGCGAACACAACACTTATGCGCCTGGCCTGGCAGCAGCCGGTGGCCATGCTTGTCGGTCGCTTCCACTTACCAGGTGCTCTTCCAAACGCTTGGTGAGGTTGTCCACAGCCCCGCCCACATCGCGGATCAGAGCGCTGGACACAAAAGAGAGACAGAGTGCGTCCTCTCCGTGGGTGGACGGCGTTCTCTGCGTGAGTGCGTGTCTGTATGCCGTACTCGAGACGTCGCGTGGGGTTCTTGGACATCTGCTTGGTCTCCTTGAACCAGCGATGGCAGTCATAAACCTGCAGACAACACCACAGCACCACAGCAGAGAAGACGGGTATGATCAGATGAACGACAGCTGGAATCGACGGCCGTCGAGTACACCCGCACCGCACCCACAATCACCCACCTCATCGATCAACTGCAGACAGACGAGACGCAAAGCCAAGGAGACATGAGAGACACGTGGCCCCCATCCCCTCTCGTGTGCTCACTCACCTCCATGCACTCCTTATACGTTTCGAACAGCTCCTCAGCAATCTCCCCTTCCTTCTGCCCAAGAGGACGGGAGCCCCTCTTGTCCAACCGCTGGATCAAATGGCTGCATCCGCCACGCACAAGGGAAGGAGACATGAGCAGCACCCACCTCCCTCCCAGCCATCTGTGCATCCATCGCTGACATACATCTCGAGTGTGAGTGCCTTCTCCATGAAGGGGCCCAGACACGAACGGAACCACCGATAGAAAAGGTCTGCAGGGAGGCCAAGGGAAGCGTACATGTCAGGGTATGCGCAGGTCGGTGGGGTGGTGTCTCCGCTCTTTCAAAGTGACCTGTCCTCCACTTCTGGCACATGACCACTTTGGTCATCACCTCCCTCAGCTCACGTATCTGCCGCAGACCAGTGGACAGATGCGCATATGCACTGACTGGCGTCTCGTCTGCACTGCCGCAGGTCGGCACCGTACCTTGCCGCGCATGGCCTCGTGTGGGAGCAGGATAGTCTCGTCGACCAGGTCCTTCACGCGCCTTATCTTGCTCGACGTGAGGTGCTCGTCATAGTAGAGCCTCACCCACTCAGTCCTTCCAGACATCCTGACCACACTCTGCTGGGGTATGTCGTTTGAGACGGAAGTCCGAATGGAAACGCCGATGGGTTGGTACAACCAATCGTACTGATGCTTCGGAAACGTGTTTTGCAAAGAGGAAAGCGTCTCTTTTCGGCGAATTGCTTGGGGGCGTGATGGGGGCTGGAGAGCGGAAGGCCGTCTTTCTCAAAACGGCGACTTTGACTGCCCTCCTTCCTCGGGTCTTCCTCTCTCCTTTCCCCTTGGCGTGACTGCTGTGCTGTTCCCCCTCTTTTTGCTGCCCGGTGAATTTACATAGGGCGTTACTCTTGCACTCCCATCATGATTAGTGGTGCGTGTGGGACAAGGATCACACACGGGAATTGTGTCACAAGTGTCACTTGGTCCTGCCCTTCCTGCCATCACGCTGCGCCCGGCCACGCAGCTCCTGCGCATCTCTATCCCCCTCCCCCTCCCCCCCTCCCCTGCTCAATGTCAGCTGCTGGTACGCCACTAACGCAGTCACCACACTCATCCAACACGAAAACAAACACAACAGACTCACCGCACAAAACACAGACATCAGCAGCAGCGGCAGGAACGCCAGACGCGCACCGAACACCAGCTGATGGCCCCCGGACTGCCAGAAGCCCAGCAAAGGCACACCGACACAGCTGCCGATCCATATAAACGCGCCCGCAAGCCACGACACGCGCCGATATGTGACCTCTTTTCGCACCATCTCAACTCCTCTCATCGACGGAGGGGGGGATGACGGCCAGGGAGGCAAGGGCGGGAGCGCCGCCTTGTGTGGAGGGAGAGGCGGGATCATCTCGATCACAGTGACCATCAACGGCGATGGCAAAGGTGTCAGGTGGTAGCACGCCTCACCAGCACCAGCAGGCTCCTGCTCCTGCTGCTGCTGCCGCCGCTTCGTCTGCTGCTCCTCGCTCTCCCCTTCCCCTTCCCCCTCCCTCTCCTCTGCTGCACCGCCCTTCCTCTTGATAGATCCAAGATAAAGCTGAAACCTCTCCAATGGTGACGGCGCATCGCCGTAGAGAACCACCCGTGCGAAGGTCACCTCCACCAGAGTCAGCAAGGCGAGCAGGCACCACTTGATTGGGGTCTCGGTGGGGTGTGGCAGGAGTGGCATGAGCGAGAAGTTGGCGAAGAGGTTGGTGACGACCAGCAGGGGCGGCAGGCTGGTCAGCCAGAAGGACAGCTCGAAGTGGTGCTCTGAGGAGCATGGGGGCACGCTGCCAAGGCCGTACGCCCACACACACGACCTGAGAAGATATATGCGTGAAGACAGGTGTGTGCCGTCAGCGAGTGAGTGCATCGATTTGTGTACCCCAGGGGAATGGTGGTCATGAGTATGGCCTTCTCGTGCACGTGCCAGCCGGCCAGGAAGGACACCCACGAGCCGAGCGCCACATACAGAGGCAGATACCGGGGATTGCCCGTGGACCACAGTCGACACAGCAAGGGCTGAAGTAAACGAACGACCCGGAGGAAACGTGGAAACCTGTGTGTGTGCTGGTTCTGTCATTACCAGATAGAGCATAAGGGTGAGGGCAAAAGTTGCCTTTGGCGGGACGTTGGGCAGCACGGCCATCTCATACACCTCAGCCAGGCCCGCGATGGCCCCCCCGGCACCCTTGCTGACCAGCCCCCGACCCAGCAGCCGCCCGGCCACACTCAGCACCTGGTACATGCCCCTGTCAGTGGCGTTGTAGAGGGCCCACAGGTTGGGGGCCCAGTAGGCGTGGGTCAGGCCCCTGCCGAAGGGGAAGAGCCGACCGATGAGAGCCCCCAGCTGACCTGGCGGCGAGACCGCACAGACCAAACGGCACGATGGGTGTGACTTGCACAAGTGTGAGTGGTTGGTTGGTGTACCTGTGAGGAGGATGGGCAGGAGTGCGGCAGCGACCACAGCGAGGACCACTGCACCGAGGGACCAGAACCGAACCATGAATGCCCTCCTGTCGGTGTCTTTGCGGCTTCTCGCGACTCTCATGGAGTCATCTCTCCCACACGAGCTGACGGACAGAAAGGAAGGAGATCAATGGCTGGCAAGGTGCGGCGGCAGGCGTGTGGCCCTGCACTCACTCTATCACTTACCAGGCCATGATGTCCCTGGGTGAGAGCTGCATGAGGCAGTATGTGCGCAGCAGAAACACGAAGTAGACCGGGGCAATGTAGAGGAAGATGTGCTTCATTATCAGCAGCAGCGCAAACAGGGCCGAGCCGACCAACACGCGACCCTGCACACAGGACACAGGAGAAGGCACACAGGGGAGGGGAGGGGAGGGAGGGGTGCGATTGGAGTTTGGGGTGGGCATGCACTGCACGTGTGTACGTACGGGTCATTCAGTCATATATGTCATACATATCAATAGTGAGCCAGCCCAGCGTCAGTCAGTGATATTCAGTCAGTCAGTCCGGACCCTCATTATTTGCGCCATGGAGAGCAGCAGCACACCCAGCATCATCCCGTTGTACTGGAAATGGACATCTACACAAACAACAAACCCAAGCAGAGAAACCCCCCCATGAGACCATCCGCACCAGCGTCGATCTCTTGGTGCCCAAAATGCGTACGGTCGACAATGAGGAGTCCTGGGTTGAGGACACACGAGATGAGTCCGCCGATGACGGCATAGTTGCGATCGCGGCGCAGCTTCTTGTCATCGATGCCGTCGATTGTCGACCTGGTGTCGCTGCTCTGGTCGCCATCAGCCGGCGCCACACACGCACTGCTACCGCCGCTGCCGGTGCCATGCTCATCCTCTGCTCGGCCGGTCAGCACGTCCACCAGACTGCACACCCACGGAGAGAGGGTCGCGTGCCGGTGTCTGTCTTGTCTTCCTATATGATGTTCTGACCTACCTGATGACGCCCCAAAGCAGGAGGGCGTCAGTGGCCATGACCGACAGCCGCTGGAACCACACCGTCCCGTCACTCGCATAGTCAAGATTCGACACCTGCATGACAGGAGAAATGAACCACACACGTCTGTCTGTCTGTCTGTCTGTCTGTCTGCACGCGTAATGCGGCCGGTCATCTTCTTTTGGCTGGCTGGTTCACGCACCTCGAGCATCTTGGCGTCTATGAACTGGGCGGCCCCGGCCAGAATCCACTCAAAGTATGCGAAAGCAGGGGGGTAGTCCAGCGTCCACGGAGAGGTCGCCTGAGAACACAGAATGAACGCAACGCATCCACGTGACTGTCATGGGTGCATTCATATAGCAACTCAGCGCATGTGCGGCGTCCTCATTCACTCCTTCACTGACCTCTGTGTACCACTGCCTCAAGGGCAGGGAGTAGGTGATGGCCATCCAGTTGCGATGCACCTCGAAGTCCGTGCTGTGGCTGCAGACAGACGGGGCACACACACATGAGAAGATACCAGCAAGATGAGGGGGGGAAACTGTCATTAACCGTAACACTCGTCTGTGTGCCCGTGATACTCATACAAATACCAGCAAGATGATGGTCTGCCTGCTGTTGATCTCTCAGTCTCTTCTTACTAGCACGGCACCAGCATGAGTTTGATGAGGGTTGCAAACACGAAGATCCACAGGCCCAGCGCCCACGAGGGGCTCCGGGGATAGAACAAACGCCACAATTCCGCCAGCATCGCGCCTTTCAGCGTTGCGAGCTTTCGATCGTTAGCTCGCCGGCAAAAACGCAGGAAAAAGACGAAGGTTGCGCAACTGGAGTGACTGAGAGGGTGGGAAAGATGAAGAATGCCACACATCAGTGCTGTTGCATGTTCCTCTGTGTCGATGTCTGTCAATGCTTCAGTCAGAGCTTCAGAGGGCGCTGGGAGACCCTTGCGCACCGACAGGACGGGTGTCCCCTCCAGTGATGCTTCGCCGTGCCCATTTTGAGCTCACGACATCCCCCGCCAGCGTTGCCACGACCGCCTGGACTCATCGATGCGGTTGGTACTTCCGACCGACGTCGAGCCGTACCGCCACCAGGTGGGCGGCCACTCGCGGCTCATCAAGCCCAAGTCAAGCTGCAAGATTTATAAGCCATGGAGCGAAAACGAATCCAGATTCTACGAGAAGGTCAGTCACTCAAGTCAGGCAGGCACACACTGAAAGTCGTGTGCGTCCACGACGCCTCTCTCTTTGGCTGTGTGTGTTGGTGTGTGGGTCAGTTGTCGGCGTTGGGTTCGTCGAGCATGGAGTCGGGCCCTTTACAGATTCTCAAGAAGTTCGTGCCCAAGTACTACGGGAGTGTGGAGGTGACGGCGGCCATCACCCCGCCCGTCACCGACATGATGGATGGGCCCATGCAGCCGGAGCAGTCGAGGCACATCATACTCGAAGACCTGGTCGATGGATTCATCAAACCGGTCAGTGGGAAAACTGAGAAGAACAGACCAACAGAACAGAGAAGAGAAAAGCCCTCCGTCGGTCACATGTGCTTTGTGTCGTCTGTGTGTTGGTATGTATAGTGTGTGTTGGATATCAAGATGGGTAAGCGTCAGCGTAAGATGGGCAGCTCCCCCGACAAGGAGAAGCGCCAGCTGGAGAAGAGCCTCTCCACCACCAGTGGGGCGCTCGGCTTCCGGCTGTGCGGATGCCAGGTACACACACACACACACACACACAGAGAGAGAGAGAGAGAGATGCGTTGCTTCTCGCTGCCTGCGTGTGTGCGTGCAGTATTACGACCGCAAGAGCGATTCGTTGTGTTTTCTGGATAAGTATTGGGGCCGGCGTGTGACCAAGGACAAGGTGCAGGCGGCGCTTCAGCTGGGCTTCTGGAATGGCAGCGAGCTCTACACCGACCTGTTCCCACCGCTGCTCGAGAAACTGCAGCTCCTGCAGCAATGTGCGTGAATGAACAGAGAGGGACGGAGATGCATGGATGTGTCATCATCTCGGGTGGGTGTGTATGTGTTGTCTGTCTGTGCATCAGGTGTGACTGAGTTGCGTCATTATCGGTTCTGGTCATCGTCCCTCCTCATTGTCTATGACGGGGGCCTCGATAACCCCAGAGAAATGGTCAAGGTACGATAGACAGGCAGCATCCACACTCATTTCATGCATTCGATGGCACAGTGGCTCTCTTCTCTCGGTGTGTTGCTGGGCTGGATGCAGTCGCTCGACGTGCGGATGATTGACTTCGCCAACACGATATTTCTGTCAGGTGGGTGCTTGCGTGTGGGAAGCGCAACCACAATCACCGCCTCTCATGTATTTCTCCTTACCGTTGTTCCCTCAGACAACCCGACGCCCGACGAGGAGTACGTCTTCGGCCTCCGCAATCTCTCGACCGCCTTCCAGACCATCTGGTCCAGCGCATCGTCGGCACCCGGCAAGGCCGCCGTTTGCCCCCCATCCGCCATCGCACCCAGCCTCCCTCCTCTGCCCCATGCCGCATCACGCAAGAACCCGCGGCTGCCCGAGACCATCGCAGAGGAGACCAAGCCGAGTGAGGAGGCCGGCAATGCGCCCACGAGCCCCCTGTCGCCGGAGGGCCGCACCACCAGCCCGTCTCGCGAATGGACCCCGCGGCCATCCCCCGACTTGATGAGCCCGGTCGAGTCGCCACTGCAGGACATCAGCAAGCCTGAAGAGGCCATGGAGGTGGAGGGCGAGACGGCGCAACACAACGGCATTCGCTGGCTGGACGGATCGGCGCCGTCGTCGGCAGCTGCAGCAACAGCACCGGCAGCGTCGGATCAGGATATGGCCATGGTGGGCGAGCAGTCGGCGGTTGATGCGGCGGTATCGCATGAACAGGGGGACGAGGAGGCGGATGAGGTGTTGTCGTCCGACACATCTGACGAGGAGCACAAGGCCTTCCGCATCCGCCGGCACAGTCTGCTCGTCAAGGAGGTCCCCAGCCCCCTCAGCAGCGAGTTCCAGAGGCAGCGGGCCGACTCCCACCCACGTGTCACTCACAAGATCTCATGGAAGCGGCCTGAGGAGCCCACCGACGACGACGTGCTGTCGCAAGCCAAGACCGACAGCGATCGCAGGAGGCAGCACCGCGGCGACACGCTGCCGCCCTCAATCGGCAACCAAGGCGACGCGGCGGAAGAGGACGACTCAGCCGTGCCAGCCCTGGTGTCCCCACCCCTCCCACCCCTCCCATCTGGCGCTCTGTCGGTCCCCGTCATCCTGCAGAGAAGGCCTCAGAAGAGCGACTCTGGCAGCAAGAAGGGCTCTGGCAGCAGGTCGGCGTACCGCCGGTCCCCCACCTCGCCGGTCGACATTGCCATGGGCACCGAGGGGCGCGTGTACATGGTGGAGCCATCGGGGCCGCCGCATCCGCACGATTACGTGGTGGATGTGTCGTCACAGAGGGGGTTGGTGCCGCTAATCGTTGCCGCGACAGAGGAGGGGAACAAGGGGGAGAGAAGACGGCAGCAACAGGCAGCGACGATAGCGCAGCAAACGAGGCCGGCTGCGCCAGTGGGACAGCCGGTGTTCCGGTCTCTCTCGGACGGCAATGCGGCGTATCATGATGGCAAGCTGACCGACACAGGCGCCTCCAGCCCATCTAGGGATTCCCAAGTCCCTCTGTTGGTGGCTCAGTCAGCCGTCAGCCTGCCCGACGCGGCGCTGCCCGACCTTCCCGATGGCATGCGGCTGCTGAAGAGGGGCAGCCTGCCTCTGTACTCGCGCGGCATGTCGGTGTTGGTGACGCCCACATACTCTGACGGCCTCGGGGACCGCACGGCTGTGTCGGGCGACGAGAGCAGCACTCACCTGGATGTGGCCAGGGAGGGCCCTCGCTGGTCCTACATGAGGTAAACAACACAGAGACAGACAGCCGGCCGGTTGCGGCTTGTGCACATTGTGTGTTGTCTTGCCCCGTCCATTTAGGCGTTCCTTGTCGGCGCCTCTTATCGACCGAGGGCCCTGTGGTGGTGAAGCGCAGCCACGAGGCGCCCGCGCCCACCTGGCCTTTGCTCACGTGCGGCAGAATGAGTTTGTCTCTGGCGAAGAGTCGGACGGTGAAGCATCGCCAGACGTGTCGCCCACAGCACGCGAGGCTACAGCGGTCGAGGGATCATCGTTCTAGCCTGCGGGTCTGGCGGGGAAGAGATAGACACGGAGGGAGAGATAGATAGATGGGGGGTTCGGCTCGCAGCAGGGCAGGCACGTTTTGACGCCGTTTTGCGGTAATGATATATGCTGCGTGACCAGTGGCCCTCGGTAGACAGGGATTTTTTTCTTTCAGTTGCTATGCAGAGGCGGGTCGTCCTCCGGATGATGGAGTGCTTTTCTAGTCATCACATGACCCATGTAGGAGGGCACACGGGCACACACCTGTCCACTGTCAGGGACACACAGAGAGACAAATCGCTGCGGGCAGGCGGGCAGTCAGATTAGCCGGAGGGCTGGGGTGGGTATTGCGGGGTCGCTACTGCACTTCACTGACTGACCCTCTCCATACCATACCTGTGTAAGAGACGCTGCATGTGAGGCTGCCTCCGGCAGGGCTGTGCTGTGTCGCTGCTGCAGTGGGGTAGTGATAGGCGACGCACAGCGGCACAGCACAGCCGGCCACGGGCTGGTACGGTAGGGTACGGTGCGCACCGACGGACTGTGTTGATTGGTTCATTGATGGCTATTGCTGCATGCCGCCTGGGGCGGCTGTGTCAGTCGACAGTTTGGTGGATGGATGGACATGCGGTGGACAAGGTATGATGGTTGGTGTGCTTTCTTGCACGCTGGGACTCTGTGGTTGGTGATGGGTCAACACTGCATTCATGACCAAATACACGCAGCTGTGAGTCATCCGTGAAATGAAAGTGGAAATAACATAACACACAACACGCGACGAAGGCGATCGACTTACTTGACACAGCCCGTAAGGCACAGGCGCAGACACCCTTACTGCACACGCACATTCACACCCCTATTTGAGGCGGACAGAAATGACACTCACACAGTGTCATGCAGCAAAATGATACCTGCAAAAAGTGACCAGTAGCTGCCTATCTTTGTGTGTGACGCGTCCTAGAGTGTATCACGTCAAGGTGTCTGATTGACATGACACAAAGACACATGTCACAAGACATTTGCTGGCGGTGGTTGAGTGGTCATCGCTTACGTGCTTTCCGTCCTTGGAATCGGCCACAAGCTTGTCGAGATGCCTGATAAGCTTATCTGGCGGCATAAGACTCTCTCTCATGGCCTTGAGTTTCAGCCACACGAATTTCTCGAGTTTTAGCTCGTAATGGAGGGCGAGTTGTGCGAAACCGATGGCATTCACCGAGTACTCGACGTGGCTGGCGTTGGGGTCGGTTACGGAGCTGAAGGCGCCCTCGACACACCCCACTATGATGGCGCCGAAGGCGCTGGCGTTGGGCTTTGTCTCAGCGACCAACATCTGCGTGTCACAATGGAGAGAAAGGAAAACAATCTGTGTGTGTTGACGTGGGAAGGAGTGGGGGTGTCTGACCTTTTCAGACACTTCCATAGCGAGTGGTAGGCGTTGGTTGGCGATACACGCGTCCATGAAGGCAGTCCATACGTGTGCGTCCTGGTATTTCAGATCGATGCTGAACCGGCGGAACAGCTCTGTCACCACGCTGTGGGCCTTGTCAAACTCCTTGGCCAGGCCGTACAGCTTCACCTGTGCGAGGAACAGACAGACAGACAGACACTCCTTGACACATACACACACCCTGACCCACCAGTATGGTGAGTGTGTGTGAGGTGGGGGCCACTCCGGATTGGATCATGTTCTGCAGCAGCTGCTCCGTCATGTGTAGATTGTACCGACGAGCACACTCTACACAACACATCCACACACACCGTTGCTCTTTTCCCCTGTCTCTTTCTCTATCCCTGTGTGTGTGGGCAGGGGCACCTTCCAGCAGTGCGTTGTATATGATAGTGTCTGGCTGTATACCGCGGCCCCACATGGAGTCGAACAGCTCCAGGGCGGCGTCTATGTTGCCCTGTGTGCACAAGCCCTTGATCATGGCGCTGTACGTGTCGATGGTCCACCAGTACAGCGGGTGCCGGAGTGAGGCATTCATGTCCTTCAGAATGTCCACCGCTTGACGCATGTCAGACACCAGCCTGCACGCGTCGATCAGCGTCTTGTACGTCACCTACGTACGCACAGATGACGTGCACACAGAGGTATGTTCGTTTGTGTGTGTGTGTGTATGTGTTGTGCTGTGTGGCTGGCCGAATCACATCGTTGCAAGGGACGCCTTTTCGCTTCATATCTCGGTACAGCCACAGTGCCATGTCGATCTGCTTGATCTGTGCGAAGCCCTTGATCAGAATCATGTACTGCACCGGGTTGGGCGTCACACCACTACGAACCAACCTGAAAGTCGCACACGCATAACTGTGGTTACTGTGGGGTGTGTGCGTGAATGGCTACTTGTGGAACCGATCCGCGAGGGCGTCGAGCGTGCGTTTGAATGTGTAGTTGTTGGGCTCCACGGGCTCCACCTCGCGCCCATTCGTCATTTTACGCCACAGTCTCAATGCCTACACACACATCGACTCAGCCACCCATCCATCCATTCACCACTGTCTGTGTCTGCCTGTCCTTCCTCACCTCATCGAGTCGTTCGCATCGCCCATATGCCTCGATGAGTGTGTCGTATGCGTTCACGTCTGGTGGGTCCAGGTCCATCAACTACGCATGACAGACACCGGTATGTGTCTAGTGCGTTGAAGCAAAAGAGCACAGCTGTTCTTCTCCTACCCTCATATCCTCAGTTTCGTCACCATCAGAAAAGACCGCTGTGGCAAATGCGGTAGCACCTTCCCAACCAGCTTCGGGCGGCATCTGATCAGCCAGCGAGCATAGATTGATCACCATCGCACCTCCTGAGTGTTTGGTCCTTCTCCCACCTGCTCGCATGTATTGTTGACGTAACCCGGTGCGCCTTGACGCACTACCCTGGCAGCAAAGACGGCACAGCGAGACCATCGCACTCGTCGTTGTATTGTGTCTCTCGCTATGCATGTCTACCCTTCGGGTGGACCCGATGGCGCCAAGAAGGGCATCTGCGGTGACTGGCCTGTACGTAAGAGAGCAGCAGGGAGCCAATCATGAATACACACCCATTCATTCACCCGCCATAATGAATCCATACCATTGGCGGGGGAATGTAACGGACCTTAAGGCCACACAAGAACAGAAAAACACCAGCATGGCACAAAGATGCACGTAGGCGCGCACAAGCTGAGTGTGTACCAAAGGGGGGAGAGATGATTGCTTTTTGTTGAGAAGGCCCAGGCGGCCCGCCAGTTACTGCAGGCACACAGCAGAATATCAACGCCTTCCTCGATGTCTGTCGCTGCGCTTTACCACAAAATGGCTGTTCCTCTGTAATCTCCCCTGAAGACTGCATGAAGAGAGACAGTCTATTAAGGCAGCAAATACTTCCTGGCTACTCACCCCCTGATCGAGTGCGGCGAGCAGCGGGGCAGGCGCAGGTTGGCGTGGCGCGTCAGAGGCCTGCGAACAACAACAGGTCCTCTCCCGTGAGTGCATCAATAGAAGAAAGCAAGAATCTGAGTATCTGCCGACCTGCTGATTCAGTGCATCTTGCTTTAAGTATACACAGTTACGTTCGTGTCTGCTTCTATCACTCGTGTGGTAGGGTCGCTTGCATTTGACGCATCGCTTGCACTTCTTCGCTTCTCGCGTGCTGTCATACTTGTAGGTGATGGTGAAGCTCGCTCGTCCCGCCACGTCGAACGCCACGTTGAACGTCCAGCAGGGCTTCAGACACTGCGAAGAGCTCACGGCTGATGGAGCCGGTTGGTCTGGGGGATGGCTTGAGGCCAAATGCGGCAAGTAGCCGCAATACTCGACCGCCGAGCTTACCTTGTTCTGATAGACATCTTCTGATCAGGGAAGGAGAAGTGTGCAACAAGACATTCCAACATACACTCCTCTTTCTCCTGCTGCAGTGAGCTGTATAATGCTCTTACCAAATCGTTGCCCTGTCATGTGGCTCAGCTCAACAAACCGAACCGACGCGCTTTGGACGACCACACCATCCGGAGCCAGCAATTCGTTGAGCTTCTTGAGCAGCTCTTTGCGTATCGGGAAGTCGAAGGCACAGCTTAAGTCACAACCATTGTCCTTCAGCCGCGTGCAAGAGCCCGTCACGTCCGTGACCTCCACAGGCAGTCCCGTTTCTGGGTTTCGTTCCTTCCAGTTGATGATGTCCTTCCAGTTAGAGGGAAGAATCTCCCGCAGTTTCTTCGTGACGTGACTCCGCGCTGCTTCAATCTGCCGCGATAACGCAAAAACACACATGCAACCAGAGAAAAACGGTGTATGCGTTGTTCTCGCTCACACTCTACAAATGTGCGTGGCTATTGACCCCCGATGCTTCAGTCATCTTGCCGCCCTCACACAGCTGCCACGCACAGTCGAGCCTTTTCCCGCTTCCCTCCTCCTGGCATTCCTTGCGAGCTCTTGTCCAGGCTCGCAGCTCGGGATCGACCATGGGATGCATGGCGATCCCGAGCGCCGTTGTGATGGATCCCGAGCCGCACTGTACTGTACGCTCGCAATCTTCTTTGTTTCCTCTTTCCGCCGAGTTTCTTTCCTTTCCCTTGGTTTCGCATCCACTTTCCCCGGCAGCATGGGTAACGTGGTCTCTACCGTGGCCTCCGCTGTCTTCCAGGCTGTGCCCTACGTTCTTGCAGCCGTCGAAGTCGCCAAACTCCCCTTCGGCGGGGGTGGAGGCGGTCCAGTTCCAGAAGCGGTTCGTCGGGCGGCCAAAGGTGCGGCCGAAGAGATGGAGACGCAGGCAGAAGCCAACCGTCAGCAGAACGAGGCAGACCTGCAGCGCCGTCACGAGCAACAATTGTTTGCCGCGCAAGATGAGGGAGCCCGCAAGGCCCTCGCCGAGGAAGAGGAGAGGAAGCGCAAGTTCGAGCAGGACTATCCGAGGACCGAGTACCAGAAGCAGGCCATGGAGGATCACCCGAACAGGGCACAGGTCATGCTGTGTGGAAACGCGGGCACCGGCAAGTCGACCCTGATCAACCTGCTGATGATGGTGGTCAGCCATCTCTACGCGCTGGCCCGCGGAGGCAGCACTGTCGCGCGGGCCGCGGTTAGTGCTCTTGGCGAGTGCACGGAGAGACCCACCGTCTACACCTTCGCCGAGGACAGCCCACTCTTCCACCTGGCTATCATGATCGACACACCGGGTGGGCGAGCAGTGACGGGGCAAAGGAAGCAGAGAGACGGGGGGCACAGAGAAACAGAGGAAAGTTTGTGTATCCTTTCTCTGTCGCTTCTGCCCAGGGGCAGGGACGTTGCTTGTGCCCGAGGATACATATCCCCGAATGATTGGGATCAGATACGCCACCATCGTCCTGCTCGTCGTCGCCGAGCGGTTGCGCGCGATTGACCACAAGGTCAGCACATGACCGGGAGGGCTCTTTTCTGGACTGTCACCCCTCTCTCCGTGTCTCTGTCTCCGTGTGTGTCTTCTCGTGTCAGATCTACTAGGAGTGCCTTCGTCGTCGCGTCCCTGTGCTCGTTGTGCGCAGCAAGATGGACAACGCCGTCGAGAACGCCATTGCCGACGCTGAGGACGCAGGCCAGGAGCCTCCCACGGCTGAGCAGACGTACGAGGCCGCCCGCGCCAATGTGATCTCCAAGGCCGCAAACCCACCAGCAGAGTCTGGCGT